TTTGATGATAACTCTGAATTTTTGCATAAGGTTGCAGCCTTTTTTACGTTTGGGTTAATAACGGACATAGTTATAGATAAAAAAAATGCAAGGAAATGTCTTTCGAACCCAATACTAGTTGAGTTGTGAGTCTTCATGATTCCACGGTTTATTGAGATTCCTCCGCATCCGGGTCACAACAGATATGACAAACTCATCACGAACTATCATATCTCTTCAAGAATCCTCTTTTTATGCTTCCTGCTCTGTTTTCCAATTTTTTCTTCTTCTTTATTCCTTCTAGCTATAATTCAATATTTTAAGCTAATTAAGTACCTTTTATCGTGATTTATAACAAAATAGATCATAAATATAGCAAAAATCATGTCAAATAAATGTATTAAATACACAATATCAAATTACCGCAAACTTATACTTTGATTGACCACAAGGAAACTAGAATCAATTCCAACGAAAATAAAACTCAACCCCAACATTACTATATCAAACCATTATTTATTAATGTTCACACAAAATTATTCAATTCAAGACCACCAATTTGACCTAGCATCTTGTGTATATCTTTGTCTAATGCTAATAAACTTTCCAATCTTCAAAAGACTTGAGTTTTTACGATATTCTTTTTTTTTTTTTTTTTTTTTTTACTATTTCACCTCTTTTTATTTTTTTTTCTTTCAATACTCATTTTTTGCATTCTTATTTTTATGGAACACGACTAAAAATAAATAGAGTTAATAACAATTTCCTTTCAAAACCCATGTAACAGAGTTCGCACCATCCCGATCCGAGTCAATATGTCTCAGGTAAATTAGATGTAACATCCCTTGTGAGGTCTAAACCGAACTTGAAAGCGCACAAATTGCCTCCATTCTTAAACTATAGATAACTAAAATAATAATAGTTACCTAAACAATAGCTTACAAATTTAACTTCAACCTTTATTGGTGAATGACTCGGTCAATGTTTAAAAATAAAATGTCAAGGTTGGATTTCATCAAACAATGAAAAATATATTGTATCCATTCAACTCGTATGTTCACATCTTTGGCTCATGGTATCACTAAAACTAGGAAAGTGAGAAATATACTAAATCATATCAACTAAATAAAACATTCGGCGTATTTTCTCATGTATTAATTGGTGATGGAGTTTTGGATATGCATATATAAGGACGACAGCAGTTGGTTGGAATGTAATGTATGTTTTATATGTATGTTATCATCACACAATAAACATTTATTTAGGTTACTTAATTTATTCTGTACATATGTTGATCGATATCACATCATGCTCCAAATTTCCTTACTTCTAGATTGAAGTTTGGATCACGCTCCGTGGACATTTGTACCAACAAGTTTCAATATCGATATAAAGGATTGACATGACATGGTTGATATATCCCTTTACCCATCTTGGTTTGAATGTGATATAGTATATTTGTGTTTGAATTACATTACCTAAGTAATAATCACTTATAACAAAATGTTATATGTTGATTTGTCATTTCCAACTATTGATGTAGCTATACATTCTCATTAATATACCAAATGACCACAAATTTTTAGGGTTTTTCGATTTTCAGACATTCACTCTCACTACATACCGTAGTTATTGGTTTGACAACCATTTTTTAGAAGTTTAATTTGGTTTACAATTATGTGAGCTCGTATCCACAAACTCTTACTGGCTATCAAGTGGATACCAAACCCATTGATATAATCCCCCTCGAGAGTTTCACTCACCATTGTGAATGGCATAAACATACCATAACAGTTTGACGATAAAAGGATTGTGGAGTTTTGTTAGGGTTGTTTCTAGGGAAGTTGAATGGTGGTGAATTTGTGAGTGTAGATGGTTGCACCAAGGCCTACGTCAACTCATTTCAGAGGTGATTTGCACAACATGGAGTACATGTCAAAAGTACGGTTTCATTTGATTTGCACATTTTATAATTATTTGAACGTATGTGATTTTTCTAAATTTTTTGTTTTTTCAATATATTTTTCTTTCACGACATTACGGAGTATTTGTTTTTGCAACATATTGTTGTTGCTTATAGAAAATGTGAATTCGTTTAACTTATAGTAATACGAAGTTACAAATAATCATAGTACGGAAATGATGAAAATAAAAGTGACCAATAGTTGATTGAAATTAACATAAAATAATTAGAGAAAATTGTAAATTTAGTCAAATACACTAATTATTTTGTGGAAAACAGCAAAAAAAAAAAAAAAAAAAAAAAAAAAAACACCAAAATTGCATTTTTAGCTACTAAAATCGTAGATGGGTATAATCCATCTGCGATTTCGCCTTGCCATCTACGAACGTACAAGTAGCTAAAGCACAGACGTGCTTTAGCCACTTATACATTCGTAGTTGTTTTTTTTTCGCTGTATACATACCCCTTTTTCAGTCCGATCTGCGATTTCCTCTCCTTTTGAATTGCAATTTTGTGAATTTTTTTCTTTTTTTTTTTAAATATTTTTAATTTTTTATTTTAAATTTTGAATATGAAATTGATAGGTTTAACTACAAAACAACCTTATTATATATAAAAATTTTCGATAAATTATTATTTTTATTGTTATTTTTTTGAAAAATTTGTTTAAAGCATCTCTAAAGAAATCGTATATGATATCATCCATGATAGCTTTAAGGAAATCGCAGAGAAAGGGTTTCTCCAAGAAAGAGAGTGAAAAATGAAGAAAAAAAAAAACGTTTTTATATTAGATACCACGAAATCGTGGATGGACTTCACAAAATCACATATGGACTTTTCTATCTGTGAATGTATAAGTGCCTAAAGCACATCTGTGCTTTAATCACTTGTACGTTCGCAGATGGGAGGGTAAATATCATAGATGAGTTTAATTCATCTGTGATTTTAAGTGCTATTTCTGTAATTTCAGTCTTTTTTGGCTATTTTCCACAAAGTAATTAGTGTATTTGGGTAAATTTGTAATTTTCTCAAAAAATAATAATAATAATAATAATAATAATAACTTAGAAGAAAAAAAATAACATGAAGAGAAAGACATAAACCAAACCGAAATGATCATAAAATCGTTAAATGGGATCTCCGAAATGACTGACCCCGATGTTTACTTTGAAATGACATGTTACGAATAAATTGGTCATTTTCCAAAAAAAAAAAAAAAAAAAGATTGTTATCATGTCAAATCGTATATTTGGGTAGTTTGGTAACATAAATATTAGCATCTTTGAAATATAATAACTTAATAACCAGCCACATTGAGTGGTTAAAAAAAAAAGATCTGAAACTTTACTGTTGAAACAGGAGATTGGAACTAATTTACGTTTTGTAAAATTTTCCTCAACCAACAAGAGAAACAGTTGTAAAGGAAAAGAGTCTGTCAAATAAGCACTATAGATCGTCCTTGTTTAATGTTCACGTACTGAAATTTATGGATGGGATAACATAATAGAGTTCTTTGCTATAGTAACCAGAAAAGGGAAATTATTTTTTCCTGGAATATTAATGCTTGTCGGCCTTTTGTAATGCTTCGTCTAATTTGTATCGTTCAAGCATCGACTACTGTTTGCATGTTTACATAGTTCCATTGAAAACTGGGCATCTTATATGTTATTTCTACAAATGGCTCAACACCCGTTTCAATCAAATCAATTAATGACTTCCTCTTTCAAATATTCTTGTATATGAGTTGTATTGAATGTTTGATGAGCTTTAACTCATCAAACACCCTCTCCTTCCCTCCTTCCAACAATCGTTATTCTTTTCTGAAGCACTTACAGCTTTCTGTGTTTCAGATTCTTCTTTACTTATACCATATAAACTTTTAGAAATTTTTTAAAATGGAGGATTGTCGAAACCACAAATGAAGTAAAAAAAGGTGTCAGGGAACACTTCTGTTACACTTTTCTTTTACTGGCTAGCTGTTGATTGTTATGAAAAAAGATTCACTTTATAAACTTTTACGTCGTTGGCTTTAAAATAACTTAACTTTGGTGCATGTAGGTGGAAGAGTATATATGCTATTTTTTCTATAAGTGAAGGTCCAATGTTTTATTAGTTATTACAGAGGCATGAACAAATTTTATAACCCCTGGTATACATAAAACAAGTGTATCTTAATCTAAGGGATAATATGTAAATTTATTTACTATATACAGAGGCTTTATAGCTTATAGGTTACTAAAAACTATTATTGTAAATTATAAGTAATACTGACACCTTACACCTATGAAAATGGTAGCTTCAGTCCCATGTCAAATCGGCAATATCAGTAGAAACAAAAACGAGTTGCATTATACAAAGTTATAGATTGGTTTATTTTGAATTGCTGAACATCACATCACATCTCAACTTTTAATGATTTGGTGAGCACGTCTAACATCCTGAAAATGGTGGGTTTAGAAGGTTTTGACATATAGAACAAGACAAAATTGCAAAAATGGTCCCTGTGGTTGGCAAATTTATGTGTTTTTGATCCAAAACGAAATGTTGGTGTACCACACGTCTAAAATTGAATCTTTCTATTGTTTTTGGTCCCTATCAACATAAAAAGACTATTATACCCTTATATTTGATTTTTAATTTGCTTTATATATCTAATCAAATGTTTTTCATTAATTAAAATTAAGAAAAAGGCATCTCTCTCTCTCTCTCTCTCTCTCTCTCTCTCTCTCTCTCTCTCTCTCTCTCTCTCTCTCTCTCTCTCTCTCTCTCTCTCTCTCTCTCTCTGTGTGTGTGTGTTAAGAGTTCTTGTGAAAATCAACTTGCTAGATCAAGAAAACAGAATTCTTTTCTTCTTCCTGGTTCACTATGGTTTACACAAAAAGGTTAAGCATTTGTTTTTGTCTCTTTATTTTGAACACCACCTTCTGCTGCCATTAAAATCCGTCAAGCGAGCCTTAAAACACCACCATCTACTGCCTTCTTCTGGTTTTGGGAGCTTACCACCAAAAACCATTAGGAACCGTTGTTGTCTCCATCAATAACCACCACCGATGTTTGATCACCGTGAATCACCATCAAACCTCATCCCATATCCTACTCCATCTCGACCCTTGTCTTTCCCGGTGAGCCTAAACAAGGACGAAGTATCATAAGGTTGTCGGACCAGCCCCCTACCGCTGGAGCTCTTTCCTCCACCAACAAATATCGTCGTCACTGCTACTTCTTCCATCCACCATACCCAGCTCCGTTCGCCTCCATCATCATCGAGCTTGTCGGAACAGGAAATGGAAGCAGCGAAGCTGCCATTACCGCCCGTTGTCGTTGCTAATGTGGAGCTCCGACACCATCGCTGCCGCCTGCTGCTATTGCCACCACCGTCTCCGAACTGCCACCATCCTTGTCATCATAGTAAGCTTCATCCACACCCCTCAATTTTCAAACCAATAACATTCTATGTTCGATCGACCAACTGAAATTAAGAGACTATGGGTCTCGTCTGTAAAGCACGACTGGTAACGGAAAGAAGATGATATGTTCTTCTTCTTCGTCGTCTTCAGATCCCCTTCTTCTTCAATTTCATCATCATCAACTTTATTTCACACAAATACCTCATCAGAAACCCTAATTTATCGTCATCATCATCATGTTCTTCTTCTTCGTAGTCTTCTTCATATACTTTCGTATCCAACACCGACTCTGCAAAACTCGAGAACCCCAAATTCCTCGATTTGATCCTCGCAACACCAACTCGTATTTTCTTCGTATCATTGATGGCGAACAGATCCGGCAGAGTTGCTCCGTCGCAACCCTAATTTAATCACCAACATGCTTGCTCCGTCGCAGACGACCGGAAATTAAAGTGGTAGGGAAGGAGTTAGCGAGGAGAGGCCAGAGGGCGGTGTTGGGTAAGGGTTTGATGGGAGTGTAGATGGCCGGAAATTGGGATGACAATTGAGAGAGAGAGAGAGAGAGAGAGAATGTTTATTAATAATAAAACATTAAATTAAATACAAAAAATATAAAAAATATATCAAAGGGCATATTCGTCATTTCAGGTTGGGTCTGGACTAAAAACACACAAAAATGTTAATCATAGGGACCAAAACAACACAAGATATCAAAAATTGGACTAGTGGTGCACTAACATTTCGTTTTGGACCAAAACTACAGAATTTTACCAACCACAGGGACCATTTTTGCAATTTTGTCTATAGAACAATGTTGAAAACTTTATACACAAGGAATGGAGATTAAGAGTACATCAAAAATGAAAATATATATAAAAAATAAATTAAGGCTGATCTTCATACAAATGGTTGAGTTGGAATGTACTTTCACTTCCTTATTAATTGCTTCCTTGATTATTTTTTGTCACTGTGATTTACTCTAATAAATGGATGTTTTTTTTTTTTTTTGTCATTTGTCAGGGTTTTATTCAATTTATCAAATGTTATTTTATTGTTATTTTGAATTAAGTTTTATTTCATATGTTATTTTATAATTTTTCTATTTTATTAAATAACACATTGTATTTAAATGCAATAATAAATGCATATTAATTTTTTTAATGAATTTTTCTTTTAATTTCAAAATTACTAAATTAAAGGTTAATTAATTTCTTTTATTTATTTATCTAAATTATTTGTTTACATCTAAAGAAAAAAACACTTTAATTTTTATAATTCAATATTTTTCTTATTCTTCTTATAAATTCAAACTTCTCAAATATTTAGACTTTTATATTTAGTTTTTTCTTTTAAATTTACATGGGTTTCATGCTTAGTGATTTAATGTAGCATATAAGATTACACTTTAAATTTTTACATGAAGGAAACTAATGGAAAATGTGTAAAAAAAAAAGAACTGAACCGATCCTTCCTATTTGGCTCATGGACAATTTAAGAAGCTTATTTAGCAGCTTAATTCTTTGGCTTCAACAGCATCTCTGCTCCTTCACTGTGCACCTTGCCTTAGTTTTGGGCACCAAGGAGGAGACGCAGTTTAAGATTTTGTAGGAATCAATTTCCTAATAAAGTCAACATTTATGGGTTTATAGATGCTATACTAGTACCGAAGCATTAATAAGGCTGGAGGAAGTGGTGTCACCGAAACCGTATTTCCTCCCCTACTACATAAGTGCAATATTATTTTTTACCACACAAGTGTGGTTTCTTGCCACACCAAGGGAGTGGTGCCACACTTTTATTTATTTATTTACTTTGTTTATTTTAGCTATTTTAATTAAAACTTATTTTTTAATTAAAAAAAACATAATTTTTCATTACTTGAAAATTTAAAAAAAAAAAATACCTTAAATATTCAAAAAACACACAAAACAAAAAAAAACAAAAAACAAAGAAAAAACACATACACGCACATGACATTAGAATAACCCTAAAAACATAAAAACACAAATAAAATTACTAAAGCAAACTACATAAAGTCGTTATCCGATAACTCGTCTTCGGAGTCATCCGGTGGATCCAAATTAAGGTTAATGTTTTGAACCCCGTAAATGTGTTCCACCAAGTCATTGAGAATATTGTGAAATGTTTCAGTGCAACGTATCTCTGATCTCCTGTTCATATACTCTTCGTTACTAATTTCTATTGGTTGTGTCTCTAGTATGGTTTCTTCCTCGTGAAACGCACATATCGCTCTTCCTTCATCTTCAATAATCATGTTATTCAATATAGGACACATATACATGATTTCTTGAAGTTTTTCCTTGCTTAAATAACTTGCTGGTTTTTTCAATATGAACCATCTTTTCTTCAGAGCTCGAAAAGCACGCTCAACATCCTTCCTAGCTCTTTCTTGAGCTCTCTTGAATTTCTTTCGTCTAGAACTATGTGGATACGTAAACGATTTAACAAACACATCATACTCAAGATAGATTCCATCGACCAGATAATAATCATACTTATATGGTGTTCCACGCACTTCAAAAGAAGACTCTGGTGCGGATCCATCGTATATGTTGTTAAATATACGTGAACGATTAAGAACGTTGATGTCGTTAATCGAACCAGAAGAACCAAAAAAGCATGTTAAATCCACATATATTGTGATGCAACTGCTTCAAATATGACCGTTGGGTGATCATGATCACCTCGGGTAAATTGCCCACGATATGACGTAGGACAATTTTCTCATGCCCAATGGAGACAATCTAAACTTCCTAGCATTCCAGGAAACCCATGCACAGTAGCATGACGAGTTTGCAATTGCAGGATGTCATTACGTGTAGGCTTACGCAAATATTTTGGACCATAAAACTGAATCACAGTTTTGCAGAAAAAGTGGAGACTGTTTTGTGCGATCCTAACAGACATCCTAAAACTTTCGTCTAACGTATCAGGCGGAATATCAAATGTTAACTGACGAAGTGCGGCCGTGCATTTTTGTAAGAGAGTGAAACCAGATATACCTCTAGCATCGTAGCGTCGTTGAAAAAAACTGCACTCCCTCGTTACATTTTCAACTATACGTTTGTATAAACCTTTGAACATTCTGAAGCGCCTACGAAAATAAAACACTTGAAAAGCGGCATTCTTTTCAAAATAGTCTTGCACCATACATTGGTTGGCTTCTTCACGATTTCCGGAAATATATCTTTGTGTTCTCCGTTGAGAAGTAGCAGCTGCGTTTTTGCATACAACATTGTATGTTTGATCCGCTTTTTGAGCACTCGCAACAACGGTTTCAAAAATAATCTAAAATTTTTTAGAAGATGAAGAAGATGACATTTTTGAGAGAGTGATGATTTTTTTTAAATTTTGAATGAGAAAAGAGATTTTATTGTGGTTAAAAACAAATGAAGTGGATATGTATATATAGGACAGAAAGGCAAAATGAAATAATAATAATAATAATAATAATAATAATAATAATTGCGTCCGAACCTACATTCAACGGTCAAATATCCATCTACCAATCACGTGACACGATACAAACTATTTGCAATGCGGTCAAAACCGCGCAAGACTGTGGTATGGAGGTGGTGCGGTGTGCGCGGTCCAGGTGACACAAATCACGGTATAACCTAAGTTAGTAGTTGATTTCTTAGTAAATGATTTAATCTTTTAATGAGATCAGAATACCATAAATACCCAATTCCACTTGATTAAGTACAACATTGTATCACATAATCCGCAACGATTTCCATTTTTTTTTTAAAAAAAGTGTATTTGGTTTGTGTAACAAGTTTACTGATTTATAACGTAAATTATAACCTTATCACGTTTGAGCTAATTTAAAAAAAAAATTAAAAAAAAAAAAAAAAAGTAACCAATTTTAAGAAAAGGTCAGTGATTTTCATCCATCCCGTTTAATTCTCTTTTTTTTTTTTTTTTTTTTTAAATCAAAACAAATAAATCCAAAACGTTTCCCTTTAAAATGCTCCTACTAAAAAAAATCACTTTAAAATCCAAAAAGCAATTAAGGTATACTATTCCTCACTTTTATTCATTGAATTCAATTCACCACAGGCCTTAGATGACTGTAAAAATGTATAAACATGATTAAAATCTGCTTTAGAAAAATTAAAATTACCTTAGCAAAACTACCTTCCACAAGGTTGGATTACGGTGGGTGGACTGGTACTCTAAACTCTAAACTGTTTAAAACCTCAGTGCTTGTGTGAGAAAAATATAATGTCATATCCGTATTATTGTAAAATTAAAATTTGATTCGATCTTTTTTAAACGGAATCATCTTGAGCAACATGAGACATATTACCACCTACAACACTACTAGAAAACAAAGGGTTTTGCCGCAGAAAAATAACTACGGAAAATTTCTGTACGTAATTAACTATATAATACCAACGGAATTCTACGGAATGGGATGCCCTAAGTTTGTAACAAAATATCTACAGAATAGATACAGAATAACAACGGACGAACCTCCGTAGATACTATGTTAGTAATTAGCTACAGAATAGCTACAACATAACGACGGAAGTAAACTTGTAGGTATTCCATACATAATTAGCTACAGAATAGATACGGACTACTACCCACATAAGAAAATAGCAACATAATAACTACTAAATACCAACTACTTTATTATTATTATTATTATTATTATTATTATTATTATTATTATTATTCAAAATTCAAGTCTTAATTTTTTTTTGATTGTTTTGCTTTAAATATTTAAAACACAAAAAATTAAAAATCATATTAATAGTACTATTAATAATAATAATTATTATAAATATAATGATAATATATAATAATCGTAACGAATGTGTTTAACACACAAACAAATAAACAAACGAAAAAACAATGTTTAACACATCAATAAGGTAAAATAATATACATTTAATGTATGAATAATGAAAAATGATGATAATTAGGGGAAATATGTATATTTGTATAAGTGAGTGTATGTATGCATTTATTTATGTATGTATGTATATAAGTATATGTATATATATTTATGTATGTGTATGTATGTATATGTGTGCTTATGGATATGTATGTGTATATATATGTGTATCTGTGTATTTGAGTATGTATGTGTATGTGTATGCATACGTGTATGCATATCTATGCGTATGCACGATTTTATGTACATTTATATGATGTATAACTTTGTGAAAACAAAGAAATCAAAGTATAATGATGTTGTGAAAAAAATCAAAGGAAAAAACGACATTAGACCATTGAAATGGGCGGTTCTGTATCGGGAGTCAGGTTATCGCCTTTGCCCGATACTAGTTGAATTGTGTATGTGTGTATTTGAGTATGTATTGAAATGTGTATGTGTGTATTTGAGTATGTATGTGTATGTGTATTCATCACCTTTGTTTGACCTTAGTGGCCTTCCATGCAGTGGTTTTGTATCGGGAACCAGGTCATCGCTTTTGCCCGATACTAGTTGTGTTCCACATAACATTTTAATAGGCGGTTCTGTATCAGGAAGCATGTCATCTACTGACCTTAGTGAACTTCAACACAACCCTTTTTTGGTTGGTTCAACACTGATAACCAGGTCATCACCCGTCCCTAATGGCCTTCCACGCATCCCTTTGCCTGGTGGCCTTTCACGCACTTTAGTTAGGACAACAAGGTCGGGATTCTCAGGGAGTAGTAGCATGAGTGCCATAAATACACATATGGGCTTGATTGATGTTATAGTAGATACAGGGGTGGTACAGAATGTTGGGAATGGTATTGCATATGTTTGTGAGACGACAGGAAATAATGAAAGAGCCTGCTAGTGATTTTTTCTATAATGGGCCAAAGCAGGAACATGGGCTTGAGTATGGGCATGAGTCTATGCATGAGCCTGAGTCACCAATGGTTCAGAAGCCCCATTATTTTGGTATACAAGGTAGATCAAATGATGCAGCTTCGAATGGCTCTCATAGGCCATTTATCACACGAAAGGGATACAAGTAATTTTTATTTATTTATTTATTTATTTATTTATTTATTTATTTAATTTATGAATGTTCATGTTATAATTATCCTTATATGGCTATTTCAATATTGTAGGTTTGGGAGAGAAAGTATTCATCGAGCAATCTTAAAGATATTTTGGCAGTCTATATATGAACCTTGGATTACTTATAGAAAAATTCCAAAGGAAGTTGTCAGTCAAATGTTTGAGTGTTTCAGGGTAATATATTAATTATTTATTTTTAATATCTATTTCTCATTCATTCTTATTTTGCATTTTAAACTTTTACTTTTCATATTTTTACAGACTCAATACTAGTGGGATCCAAATGAAGAAGGGAGAATTCGTGAAGGTTTTGAGAATACGCTGAAAGATTGCTATAGGGGTAGAATGAAGGATGCCAGGGAAGCATCGGGAAATTCTGCAAGAAAATCTGGACACGTTATCACAGAGATTAATGATAACTTTGAGATTCTTGCAAATTACAATCCTGTTGAAATACATGCAGATGTTTGGCGACGTTTGTGTAGGGTAAGCAATCTAATACATTATTTTTTATCCTGTTGTTTTTTATTTTATATTCTAATTTTCTCTCTCTCTCTCTCTCTCTCTCTATATATATATATATATATATATATATATATATATATATATATATATATATATATATATATTACAGAAATGGGACACAGATGAGTGAAAAAAGTTGTCCAAAAGCGGAAAAAAACTGTAACACTGATTCTGGGGGGCAACAAGACATACAGATGGTAGCATTGGATTTGAGGAGCACCGTCTTAAATTGATGAGTAATAATGATTATAGATTTTAGTGATACATTTTTCTTTCAACACTAATTACATCAATTATGTTGTGTCGTTTATATAGAAAGAGTTGACGTGTGAAGACCCCTCATTTATTGATCTTTCTTATAAGACACATCTTACTGCCAAATCAAAGAAAATATATTTTGGGGGAGATAAACAGGCGCCATTGGATTTTGTGAATGAGACATCTAGGGAGGCGATCGTAAGTTGTCTTTATCTTTTTGTATACTTACTAATATTAGTTTTTTACTTTTTAGTACAATGACAAAAGCGTTCTTTTGGTATATTTTAGGAATCATATAACAAAGCCTTATCTCAAAAATATGGTGATGATCTGACTCAACATAATGTGAATGATCCAGAATTGTGGACCCAAACATAGTTGCTTAGGAAAGGCGGGAAACAAAAAGGTCCTATCTATGGGGTAGGATACTCGGATCTTCACTTTTTGATGACGGGTGGATATTCTTATGAGTCAACTTCAACTTCTTCTGACTTTGCAAAGTCACAACAGAAGGTACAATTATTTGCATAATATATTATATAGAAAAAATATCAAGTAAAGAGGTACCTAATATGGATAAAAAAAATGTTGATATTGGTAAAGTACATTGTTGTTATGGGTGAAAATTGAAATATGTTGCCATTATTAATATTGGGTAAAGTGCATTGTTATTATGGTTGAAAATGAGACTATGTTGCTATTGTTAAATTAGGTAACATAATGCTATAATGGGTGAAAATTATAGTATGTTGCTATTATTGATATTAGGAAATGTAAAATGTTGTTTAAGTACATTGATATTATGGATTGGAAATGTAAAGTACAATGGTATAACGGATAAAAATATAGTATGTTATTATTATGCATATTAAAAGTTATTATTATTGATATTAAAAACAATGTACATTGTTATTATGAGTACTGTGTTCTTATATTGACTTAAAAGTAAAGTACATTGTTATTATGGTTTAAAGTTGAATTACATTTACTAACTGCATGTGTTTGTGTTGCTATTTTTAGGTCAATGAGTTGCGAAAACAAGTGTCAAACATGCAACAAGCCATGGATGAAAAGCAAAGTTAAATGAATTTGCAAATGCAAGAAATGTGAAATGAAATCGAATTGCAAGTGCAAAGACAATTGGCGGACTTTATGAAACAAATCAACCCGTTCGGTAATCCACCAAGTAGTTCTTAGTTTTTGTTTTAAAACACTTAATGAATGTTATGTTATTGACTAGTGTTTAGCTTTTGTCATGCTATTGTAACGGTATTTTGAGTATTTGAATGTATAAATGGTATGTTATTGACAATTTTAACATTAATGAATGTAATGATATTTGACTATTATTTTAATTATTTGTTTGGTGTTTTTAGCATAAAATTTGGGTGTTTTTTAAACTCTAAATTTAATAGATCAATAGATTTAATATAGAAATAAATTTAATATTATCTAGGAATTAGAAATTTAATATAGTAATAATTGTAGGAAATAAATATTATATAGGAATTATAAATTTAATATAACAATAACAACTGGTAAAAAATCATAGAAAATTTGTAGGAAATGAGTAATCTGTAGATATTCTGTAGGAAATAAAATTCACTCAAGTCTGTAGGTAATCTGTTGCAAAAGCAGTTGGTAGGTATTCTGTAGGAAAAGTAGTTGGTAGGTATTCTATAAGAATATCAGTTTGTAGGTATTCTGTAGGAAAATAATCTGTATGTATTTTGTAGGTGTTTCATAGATAAATAACCCATAGGTAATCTGTAGGTACTCCATAGTTAACATGTTCCGTAGGTATTCCGTAGTTAAATTTGTAACATAATATTTCATAGGAAATGCGTAGGAAGGTTTGTAGCTAATTTGTAGGAAAAATTTACCCACGAGGGTTTTCCCTATAACCCGCTTTTTGTAGACAATCTGTACGTACCGCCTCATTCCTACGGATTTCCGACCAATTTTGTTGTAGGTAATTACTTAATTTTCTAGTAGTGTAATAAGGCACAAAAAACCATATAATTGTATTTTACTCAACTAAGTAACCCCAAAAACGCAGTTACACACTATATATAGATTGCAAAAACACTTTTGGCTAACCAATCATAGAGAGAATTCTACAGAAAGATAAACGGATGATTAGAATCATCAATTAAACTGAAAATAACTTCAATGTTAGAAAACATTTTGATTTCTTTAAGAATAAAAAAAAATCATGAATTTTTTCTCCACACTAAATCCATTTATGCTAAAAGCATAAAACTAAGAGATATCAAATATCCACATACTTTTTCTTCTTATAATCTTCCTACACATTTGACATTATGACACTTATCATAATTAATAAAATTAATAACTTTATTAATTATGGGGAAACTCATCAGTAGTTCGAAAAGTAAACGTGTTGAACTCATCACTAGTGTCGGAAAGAAAATCATGAAAATAGACATCCTTCATAAACTTGTAGTCATAAGGAAAAGAGTTAGTGGCTCTAAGTCTAATCCCAATGATTGTGTATTTGATTTGTTCAAGAGTCAAATCTAGATGTCTAAGCTAAACCTTGCTAATAAAATCATTCCATTCAGAGTTAGTAGCACCCAAACTTCCTTTACCTATGGTGGGTATCGGTTTGGTTGTTGTTTTCGAAGATGGGGGGACAAATCCTTCTTTAGAAATCTTGGAATTTCCGATGGAGGTCAGACTTTGTGATTGTGTCGAAGGAAATGGTTTCAAAATGACTCGTAAATGTGTTCCCGAGGGCTCCAAGGGACTTTATTCAATACCTGCACCACCCTTTTTGGAGTATGCTGGTAGATCTTTTGCAGACTCCTCGTGTGTATGTGTGTGCATGTGTTTTAGATATGTCTAAGGCTACTTCAGACTAATAAGAGGGAGGGGTAGGTAGAGACCCAGGGTCAGGTTGGAAACCCATTTGTAGATCCTGTTGAGAGGAACCACCGATTTTGGGTTTCTTTTTGGCCTTAACTTTTGAAGAGGATCGATTATGTTTCTTAGTTTTCATCTTTATCTTGGAACTAGAAGTAGCGGATCTATTCCCTTCTGAAGGATTACCATCTGAGGTTGGAGTAGGATTTAGGGGATCAACTAAAACCGAAACCTCCATACTTTTTTTTTTTTTTGAAAATGGAGTCGTAAGGAATAGAGTCCAACATATGTTAAGGCAAGCATTAGATGGGTCCAAATGAGGTGTGATTTGGGAATCTATAAGATTCTAAGTAGATATGTTGAAGCTTCAAATTGTAGAACCTCATACAAGGAATTTTGTTAGTTTTCCGACGGGCAGTGAATTTATGAAAATATTGCCATAAGACTTCAGGCAGATCAAGAACATTGGTTCTCCCTATCAATATGTTGTAGATGAGATTTATTCATGGAGTTTGAACCTCTATGCTTATCAGTGAGATCTTTCATCACCATGTGCATCGGTAGCATTTGTATGCTAGGAAAAGAGTATTTCTTGAACTCCTTTGATTTGTATTCCCCTTTGAAAGCTATTTAAGCCAATAATTTATGGAATTCCTTAGCTTAGGTTCGACGGCATTGACACCCTTAGGATTTGGGGAAACTCTAACGACTTTTGAGAAATGTTTATGTGGTGAAAGGAACGCTCATGTCATCGTTGATATAACATTCAAGAACATCATCGTCGATATTCACTCGTTCAAAAGATCTATGCAGTAATCACAAAGGAATGTTAGGGTCTGGAACTTTGGTGAGATGAATAACAATTGGATGGTGGGAGATGTATTTGATTATTACACGAACAGACGTATCATAGTCCATCGGATTAAGTGAAAAACGGTTGAGTTGTGTCCCTCAAAATTGATGGGTTTAGGCAAAACAAATAAACTAGAAAAAGAATTCCTAAGTTCACATGAAACCTACTTCGGATCTATGTTTTAACTATTGAACATATAACTTTGAATTTCAAAACAAGAACCCTAGGGAGAGAGGCTATTTTCAAAATTAACTAATTACATTTAAGAGTTACATACCTTTCAATTGTTATAGCAAACAATTTGTAATCCTTTTGATCTTGATCTTCTTGGAAGCTTAGCAACACAAATGTAATGCCTCTGATGGAGTCACACCCAAAAGCTAGTAAGAAGGAAACTTGAAGGAGAGAGGCTACGTTATGCAAAAATCGGTCCTAGGGTTTCTTTAAGGAAGGAGTGTCCAATTTTAGGTGCCAGGAGGATCCTTATATAGCTGAGGGATCTAGGCTTAAGGGAAAACCCTAATGTTCCTTTGCTTGGGGCCTAAGCTTATCCAAAGGCCTTATTCAAGCCCCTTGGACGAAATCATTAGGGTTTCCCCTGTAGATTTCGTCCAACCCCTTCCAAGGAGGTTCTGGAACCTTCTACTCAACTATTTGATAATTACAAACTAGTCCCTGTACTTTACAATTAATACACTTAACCCTAAAACTAATTCTAATTAATTTTTGGATAACTATTAATTAAACATTATGATTTCTAATTAATATATTAATCTATTAACATATAAATAAATCATTTATATTAATTTATTAATCTTATAATAAATCAATATATCTCCTTTCATAATTTCCTTGTCTAATTGCTAGGTTTGAGGGCAACCCAAAAGGACTATGCTGCTATCAATTCGAGGACGTACCAATTATAGTTATGGGCTTAGATACCTAATCCAACAGTCTCCCACTTGATAAGTCTATAAATATAATTGCTAGCCTGAATTCTAAATTTGACCAGCAAATTGTAGCTTCCAAAAGTCGCTGCTGAACTCTGACCCAGTCAGTTACGTGTCCTAAAATAAGTGATCACATGACCCTTCGTTCTACTAGATATCCCTAGACATAATACATGGAATATATTCAATCTCTTTGTCCAGAATCTATGTTTCCCGATTTCTGATTTGTGATGATATAAGACTTCTAATTGAACACATCAATTTAGTCCTGGCTGGACCCAACACATAAGTCAAAACCAAATCATCATGGGGCCCTCAGATATCGCTTTTCATGTTAGGATAAAAGGAACAAATAACTATTGACTCATATGCTTGTATCTTTCACTCATCAAACCATACATGACAATACGTTTTATAACACCAAGTTAATGATGCATTTTTCGTATCACCAATGTATAGCCGACTTGAAAATTACAACTCATGTATCTCTATTTCAAGATCATAGATATTATTGTCTTAGTATTACTCATGATGAATTACATGAAGTAATACTCTGAGCGTGGTTCTATCAAATCCTCAAATATCAATTTTTGAGTACTCATGAACATTGAAACAGTTCTATTGCTATGTCTATCCTTAGACAATATGCAATTCAATTCATGATATTGTTAATTCACTACTTACTTCCA